TCATTAGCACAGCCTGTTAGGTGTGGTGTGGGACCTCTCCATGATTAACAAAAGACCCCAATCAATGAGGAGATCCCAAGAGTTTAGAGAATACCTTCCAGGAACCAGAGATGAAAAGCAACTTCTTTGGGTGAATTGTAGATCCCACAGATACTAACCGGTACTTACGTCTTCCAACTAGAGCTAACTGTCCTTGTCAGACTTGCTATTCTCAGTGTTTACCATCTTGTGACTTGGATCATGGAGACATCCTGGACACCTCCTTTTCCTCAACCCTGTATCAATGTATGTCACCTAGTCCCCCTACTTGTGCCCTTGTCCCTACACCCCATTCTTAACACAGAGCCAGAGAGGTCTTTTCTAAATAAGTTAGATCCTGTGCTTTCTCTGCAGGGACTTCCATCTCTGTCGGAGGAAATGCCAGAGTCACCCAGGGCCCAACATCCTCAACTCCAGAGCATCTCTTTTTCCCACTTGCCTTTCTGGTGCCACCCGTTCTCTTCAATGCTCCTGCCACAGTGGCCACCTGGGTATTCCTTGAGAAGTCTAGCTGTTCCCTTAGCCTAGGATGTTCTTCCCCAGAGATCTGCAGGCTTCACTCCCTTGCCTCTGTTCAGTCTTCACTTCAGTGAATTGGGGTTTCCCTTTGCTCTGTTCCTTTGAGAAGTCAACGGTCAGATCCTACTCTATCAATGCAAGTCATCTTGCCTTGTACATCCTCTTGATCTTTTCTAGTGGTTCTGTTTTTTCGATGAATTTCCTTTGTTTTTCTTCATCTGCATTCAGCTTGAGGGGGGAGGTTAATGATGATTTTGCTGCTTTGGTCTTAGGTAGTTTTATGGGCATTTCTTTTTCTTTGTACCCTCTTTTTCTCTGCCTGTTCCTATTTAGTTGCTACTATATCTTTTAATCTTAAGAAAAAATAATGGTATTTTATGAAAGTTTTCACTGGGCATTTTACTTAATCCCTGCTTCTTTCTAGGCCTGTGGTCCTCACATTGACCTGCTGAGAAGAACCGGGAGCTTAGAGAGGTTCAGGTCTTGTTAGGGGCACATAGTCAATCTGAATGGCTGGCTCTGAAGTCTGTGTTCTCTTTTCTAAACTCTGCCATCATTTTACTTTTAAGCCCGGTCTAGTGCCTGGCACATGTTTGACTGTCCTCGCTCATTCACAGGTGCCAGGCACACTTCTGAAGAAGGAGACAGACGACAAAGAAAAGAAGAGACTGCTTAGAGTTTACAAACATGGTTAGCGTTTGAGGAGAGTGAAGTAGGAAAGGGTGGTAGGTAGAACGTGCTTGAGGGACGGTATTTTACTGAGCAATGAGATAATAGAGGGTATGTTAGTCTGGGTACTTTAGAGACACAAATCCATAGAGACTCATGTATAAGACAGTTTTATATAAAGGTTAAGTGCACATCAAGAAAACATCCCAACCCAGTGCTGCCCAAGCCCACAAGTCCAACATTAACCCATATGTCCAACACGAATCCACCAAGCCACCAAGTCCTCCTCCATCTCACAAAACATGCAATGATGCCGACTGCAGGAGGAAAGCCGAGTCAGTGAAGGTGTAAAGATCTCAGTGCAGGCAGGGGTCTCCACACGGCTGCTCCAGCACCCAGGGCTGCATCGGGGTAGGTCCATGCGGCTTCTCCTTGGGGATGTCTTGCAGGAAGTGAGCGTTGACAGCTGAAGCAGGGAATTGGCTAAGGCAGCTGCACCCTGGTCCAACCATCACAAAGCAAGAGACCGGAGAACTAGAAAGGCGAGGCTCACTGAACCATTTTTTCCCTCTGCCCTTCAATTCACCCCACATGTGTTTATTGGCCAGGTTGGCACAATAAACTAACTACCTCAGAGTGCTAGAGCACTCCTAGACCTGTTGCTCACAAACAAACTGAATGCCCTCTCCCCTCCTTGAGTTCATTTAAAAATGCCTAATTACCTCAAAGTTCAAACTGATCTATCAAATTAATTTTCATGTAAGGAGCCCCTGTAGTCTAATAGTTAAATGCTCAGCAGCTGTCCAAAAGCTTGGTGGTTCAAATCCACTGAAAGGTTGGCAGTCTAGACCAGTTTGACACCCCTGGTCTAGACCACCCCAACAGCTTTTTGGGAGAAAGATGTGGCAATGTGCTCCCATAAAGATCACGGCCCAGAGAACCCCACGGGGCAGTCCCACTCTCACTCATGGGCTCACTGTGAGTGGGAGAGGACTTGCAAGCTTCCATTCATACCAAACAACCGTATTTTTACTCTTCGTAGGTCAGTGTCATCGATGCCACTCCTGTCATGACGATGGCACTGAGTCTGGTCATACAGCGTTAGCTTCCTGTATCAGACCAGTAGTCTCTCAAACAAGATGGCTTACTTTTTAAAGGGGTCTTCATGGACCCAGGCTCCCCCCAGTTTATAGCGTTCGATTCTATGACCCTCTGGCTTGTGATCTGACTCCTGGCGCAAGCGCAGAATATGAAGACAGACCCAGGGCCTCCATTTGAAGACTTCCTAAAAGCGCACGAATAGGTCAGAAGTTGGTCCTGGGACCACATCCTGCTGGACAAAAAGTGAGGAAAAGAGCCGGGTGGCAATGTGCCCCACTTAAAATTCAGATTCTTGTGACTTAGGAGGAGGGGTAATCGACTGTCCAGAGACAGGAGACCGTCTCTGGCATAGCGACACATTAAATCCTATAGAGAGCTACAGCTAATTAACATGGGAAGGTTCAGTAATAAACATCTCGCCTTCCATTCAGAGGCTCAGGCTTGACTCTGACCAGTGCCCCTATGTGCAGCCACCCCCAAAGAGACATACGTGTTACTCTGATGCCGAGCAAGTTGCAGCAGAGCTTCCAGGTTGAAGTGGACTGGCACTCCACTTCCAAAAAGTAGGTTAATGAAAACTGGATTACAATGGTTAGGTTTGCAACTGGTCATGGAGAGAAGGTGCAGAACCAGGCAGCATTTCACTTAGAATTGCCACGAGCCAAAGGCACACTTCCCAGCAACTAACACCGATGATTGAAATGTGAGCTCATCGGGGTTGTTGCTAACTGCTGTCAAGTCGCTGTGGACTCACAGCCACCCGTGCACAAGAGAAGGAAACACCAGCCATCTCTCACCATCCTCGCCGTTGCTCTTAGTCTGAGCCCATGGTGGCAGCCGCTGTGTCGAGGGCCTTCATCTTTTTTAATTTTTTGGGGGGGGGTGGCTTCCTCTTTTTTTGCATCCCCTTTACTTTAACAAGCATATCCTTCTTAGGACTTGTCTCTCCTGACAACATGCTAAAATACATGAGACTAAGTCTCGCCATATTAAGAACCTTAAATCTTTCCAAATTACTTTCGTCAGTTAAAAAAAAAGTTTTAATCAAATGGTCATTGAGTTCTATTGGTATTACAAATCACATGTGTTTTTGTACCATTTTATGTATACATCAATCTACTGATCTGTCTAGCATGCTTGTCGTTATATCTTCTTCATGTGCCTTTGTCTCCACCTCCCGACTCAGAGCTTGCTGAGACATTACGGTTTACATTATGCAAGGGAAAGCCAGCCCCTAGCACATCATTACGGGTCTGGTAGGCACAATTGTACAGCGATAATAAGTAAAGATTATAGTAAAGTCATAGAGAGCATGAGAGATAGAAGAGATTGCAATAATGGAGTCAGACACAATTCATGGAAGCATGCCCACCTCAGCCCCGCTTGGTGGTCCACGTGGAGAGAGATAGATATTTAATGCTAACCAAGGCTTTTATATTCTCTGGGGACCTGCAAGCCCCCTAATTACAGGTGAAGACATAGGTCACAGGAAGGGATTGTGCTTTAGGTGATACAGTAGTGGGAGGGGGTGATCTAGGGGTATCCACGCAATAGGAAGAGGACGATTGGGGTATACGTGTGGCAAGATGGGCGGATCCTAGATACAGGATAGCAGCCTAACTTTGGATGTCACAGAGCAGGTTTGACCTGTTTCTGACTCAACTGATAGAGACCATTATCAGTAGGGTGTGAACTCCATCTACAGGAACCAAATGACTGCAGGCCTGTCCATTGTCCTTAATAGCAGGGAGTGGGGCCCACTGCAGTCTTGGAGGATGCCTGTAAGCATCTGACCTCCCCCTACTACATTACTATTCATAACAATAGCAAAATTACAGTTATGAAGTAGCAATGAAAATAATGTTATGGTTGGGGGTCACCACCACATGAGGAACTGTATTAAAGGGTCTTGGGCTTGGCATTAGGGAGGTTGAGAACCACTGGTCTAGGAGATTCTCAGCACAAGGATGAGCTCTGTTCCCAGCTCTGTGTTGGTGGTAGTTAGGTCTCTCCTCCTCTGCTCCATGCTTTCTCCTTCTAGTTCTTGTGAGCTAAAAGATGATGCTAGCCAGACCTCTGGGAACTCCCCTTATGTCAGATTAGGGTGTGGGCTGAGTTAGGTAGGTGTTACATGCCACCTTAATCTGTTTACAGTTGATTGGCTGACCATATCAGATCACATTATGGGGAAGAAGCACCTCATTACTGAACTGCCAAACCACCTAGAATCATGGCCCAGCTACATTGACACATAATCTTTGAGGATACAGTTCAGTCCCTGATGAAATATAAAGAAAAATTAAGCAACAGACTAATGCTGCCATCCAAGAGAGTAGTTACTCTGCTTTGCCTTTGAGTCTACTAACCAGACGTCTGTGTTACTGTATCTCCCAGCGTGGAACATAATAACCGTTCGGTGATTTTTCTACTGTTAACAAAGTAGCTTTTTGTTAGAATTCATTTCTCCAAGTGTAGCAAACGGGCCTCCCAAAGGTCTCTTGGACTTTTTGATGCAGTTTTAGAAATTTGATGAATTCTAATGCTGAAAAACATTACTGGGGGGGTGGGGGGGGGGACCTATTCTCAATCCACAACATCATCTGTATGAGCTCATGTCCACATTCACGACATGGCAACCGCTGATTTGAATGTATTTGTATGTGTGATTTCAGGATTCACAGCTGGTGATCGAAGCTTACAAGTCAGGCTTTGAGCCGCCCGGTGACATCGAATTTGAGGATTTTACTCAACCGATGAAGCGCACTGTGTCAGATAACAGCCTTTCCAACTCCAGGGGAGAAGGCAAAACCGAGCTAAAATTTGGTGGCAAAACCAAGGGGAAGTTATGGCCGTTCATCAAGAAAAACAAGGTACTGGTGTTGGACCTAGTGTGAAATGAGTCATAAAATAAGAGGGAAGCCTCTCATGTCAGAATGCAAAAGGCTAGTGTGCTGTCTCCTCTGAAGACAGGAGCTCTCTCTGGTAGTGGTTTTCTAGCTGTGGCCATGTGTGTTTTTACAGCTGCATTTTCACTTGTCCCATGTCATGCACACTAACAGATTACTGACCTTGTGGCTGTGTCGCATCCCTCCTTACACACCGGAGTCTCTCAGACCGCTATTGCCTGGGCTGGGGAAGGGGATATGGCGAAGAATGTTAATAACAATTTATCAGCACCTCTGATTGAATGGCTGCCACGGGTTAATAACTTGGTTTGAATTCATGTTGACGTGTATGTCCATGAACACTTTCCGCTTTCTTTTCTAGAGTTGATACATAGGGGCATGAGAGCCTTACCCGTAAAATAGGGTCAAGACAGCACTGCAGCTTTAACATTAGACTGTATTAACATTAAATTGTGAAAGATTCTCTTGCTCCTTTCACCATGGCACTTCAGGTCTTTCATTTCTTTCCATCAAGCTCTGTTAGTTTAGGTCGTTTACAAGTGTTTTGTTTACCCTTCTGGCTCTAACTGGCTTAGAATACCTAATTAGAACTCTAATTTGCATGCCACAGTCCGCATGAGCTTCTGGTCAAAGATTTCTGGCAATTCTTCTGTTGCCTCACTTACTAAAATTCCCACTTTCATCCTATTCTTCATTTAACATATTCTCCATGTTTTCTTTTGGACCATGGCCAAAATATTTAATTGTGTTTTACTTGCTTTGGATTTCAAATATTATTTGATGCTTATTTTTGTTTTGTGTCTTCTTGTTTCTGATTTTTTTTATTCTGTCACTGCTCCATCTCTTACATGTAGCTTATGTCCCTTTTAACATCCCCCCATCAGCCTCCCCCTCCTCCCCCTGCCTCTGCCTCACCCTCTGCTGTTCCCAACGGCCCCCAGTCTCCCAAGCAGCAAAAGGAACCCCTCTCCCACCGCTTCAACGAGTTCATGACCTCCAAACCCAAAATCCACTGCTTCCGGAGCCTAAAGCGAGGGGTAAGTTCTGCTCAGGGAATCCTGTCTCTGAGACCAGCGCTCTGATGTTGCACGTGTCCTTCTGCTTAACTCACTTTGTTTGTGAATGAAGCCATTGTGTCCTCCCATCACAACAGCAGCAGCAACCAAAGGGCTCAGGATGCAGTGTAGTGGGGAGGATGAGAAGGAAAGAAAGAACCAAGGGAGGATGGATAGAAGGAAAGAGAAAAGCAACCCCAGCCCTGAATCCTTTTTTGTCTCTAGTACATCTTGGAAAGGCTTTTTCACACTTCCCTTTATAACGTCTAAATCATTACAATGTTACCACCAAACAAAAAAGGAAACTTAGATTCCGTTTCCAAAACTGGTAACGTATGAGGAATTAGAAGCCACTGTCTAACTGGAGGAGGAGTCCTGATTGTGCAGTGGTTACAAGTTGGGCTGTGATCTGCAAGGTCAGCAGTTCAAAACCACCAGCCCCTCCTTGGGAGAAAGACGGGGCTTTCTACTCTAGTAAAGAGTCACAGTCTCAGAAACCCACAAGGGGGTCACTGTGAGTTGGCATCGGCTGGGTGGCATTGAGTTTTGGTATAATCAGAACATATTGGCTTAATATTTCTTTCTGAGCTGTGCCTTTGGGTCTTAAGGGGAAATGCCCCAAGCCACAGTGGTGTCACCAGCAGTGTCGGTGAAAGATGCTAAGAGAGTTTCTCATGACTAGAAAAGGCGTAAAGCAGCACTGACTTTTAAAGGATGAAATAAGAAAAGCAAGCAAGAAAGAAAGAAGAATGGCAGCTGGCATTTACTGAGTGCTTATTGTGTACCAGATTCGCCTCTATGCACTCATTTACTTTTTCAGCCACCCTATGAATCACTCGATGGTACTATTCGTCCCATAAGGAGCCCTGGTGGCCTGCTAACTACAAAGTAAGCAGTTCAAAACCACCACCTGCTCCTCGGGAGAAAGTTGGGGTTTTCTACTCCAATAAAGAGTTACGGTCTTAGAAAGTCAAGGGGACAGGTCTACCCTGTCTTTGCAGGTCACGCTGAGTCGGAATTGACTGATGACAGGGAGAGACTAGCTCCTTATTTTATGGAGAAGGAAAGCAAGGTTTACGAAGTTGAAGATGTACCTAAACTCAACCTAGGAAGATGTATGACCAAGATTTGAATCCTTGGAGGCTGAGATTCTATGATAGTCACAGAAAAAATCTATTATAATATAGTTGACCCATTCATAGCTGCCCTTAAGACTCGTTTGTCATTTTCATTAAAATCAGATGCTCTTCCCTCCCTGGGGGTTGATGGGAATGACCCAGCAATCCAATGCAGATGCCATTTTGGATAATGTTAGGAGAGGGGGAAGTAAGGGGGAGATTGGAATAAGGTAATTTATAACCTCATAAATAAATCTAAATGGTCAAAAAAAATCTAAATAGTCAGTCTAACCTAAGCCTTCCTCAAACACTTTCTTATGATGAATAATGAATGGGATAATCCAGAGTGAACAAACATTTAGATTACCTATGTAATACATAGACAGTTTCCAGAATTAAATGCCATGGATGGTTAAAAAAAAAATTTTATGCATAATACATCTAGTAAGGTTTTTTTAATCTTGTCCCGTGGGAGTGACAAGGTATTTTTAATGGGCTGCTGTCTTGTCTAAACACCACGTTTACTTTTCTCTTCTCCTCCATCTCCAGGCAGTTCCCAGTTAGTTGACTCTACTCCACCGGCTGCTCTGTGGTTATCATTAAAGCCAGAGCTAGGTGCCAGCCTGAGGGTTTACAAGTAGGGCATGCTCACAATGTTGAGGGCAGTCTTAGCCCTAAACGGAACATTCCTACATTTTGTTTTCTCCGGGTGTCAGCTGACACATTGTCATGGGAGGAGACGTCTTAAGCCATGACTAATTAGCTAGCTGAGGTGTCTTTAGATTTGGCAACAACACCTGGTTGCTAGGAAGAGACTAACAGTGGTCACTGTTGACCTGGCAAAGGTATTTTCTCAAGTCTACATAAGAGTGCTATTCCTTTTGGAAGATGTTTTATGCTTTTTGGTGTTTTGCAAAGAATACGTACAGTTGGTGGCATTTGATCAATGGAATTATTTTAGGTTGTCCAGCATATCGGGAGAATGAGAAATTCCATTTTCTAAATATTTTAAGAGAGCCATTGTTAGACATCAGCGATGACATCAAACATGGGTGATGGATCGCACTGAGCTCTATTATTAGACCTTGCTAAGGAACATGCAGCTCCCTGGCTCAGTCAATGCTGGCTTTTTAAACTCTCCATCCCTCTCCATACCACTTGTTCATTCTAGAAGCTCTAGCATGTGACCAGGGTGTTTTTGCCAGACTATGAAGGTGTATATTAATTATACATCAGTTAACCCTCTCTGTCACTTCTAAAACCTTTTACCTTAGCATTTATTTATTATTTTTGTAATTAATATCACCATATTTGTCTGTGGGAGCCTCATCTTGGAATATATTGAATATCCATAGGGATTTACCATTTGTTTATATATCTACTCGTTCCTCTCAAAGTCTGTCTGTTGCACATGGCTTCTGAATCTGTGTTTCCTGGTGCTCTCTAAATGTTTAAGAAAAGATTCATTGAAAATAACACACACACAAAAGAAAAGGTCAAAGAATGTCAGTATTAATCAATGTGGGGGGGTGTCAGGGGGACGTGCCTAGGACAATTATTATACTTCAGAACAACTGAAGACAGTGAAATGGAAAGCAGGTTATGTTCATTGTTTAAGGGAGACTTTTTTTTAAAACCATAATTAGCAAAATGAATTTCATTTCTTAGTCCTCAAATCCATACCCAGCAAACTTTAGCAATTTTTTAAATTCCCGAAACGGTGAGTGTGTTTTTCTGAGAGTAAACATGCACACACCAGAAGCCTTGGAAAATCGAAAAAGGTTTTACTGTTATCATTCTTGGTCAATCTATTCTGAGGATCAAATGTAATGTTCGTTTTCTTCAGGAAATAGAAGTGAAAATAAAGTAAAGAGAGAAAAGAAGAAAGCAGAACTACATCATAGATGTAAAATTGGGAAGTTCAAAAATGAATCTCAAGTTTGGGGAAATCAATTTGACTTTTAAGCAATCTCAACACAGGTGGTCTCTGGCTTACAGGACCAAGGCTAAAACAATAAACATTGTTACCACCTGGTTTATTCTATTTAATTTAGGACAACTCTGCCACAAATAATTTAATTAGGAAAAGCACCTAGGTGAATAACCATTCTATGATTTTAATGTCTTTACATTTATCATGGCATGGTGTGCAGCCTTCCAATCAAGATTTCAATCATTTGTTTCTATCATCAGAATATTATAGATTCTGTGTCCATATTTCTTGGCAGAACTGGTTTTATTTCTGAATGCTTAAACAGGACAAAATAGTGTTGATAACTTGTTTAAAAAGACAAACAACAACCTGATTTAATCAATGATCTTTAATGATTGGCATGGCACCTGAGCATTAGCAGTTATTTCATCTTGTTGTAAATCAAGGGAAAGTGAAACTAGGTCACTTGTTCTGAGTTTACAATTGCCAAGTTTTTATTTTATTATTGTCTTACATAAGATTTCTCCTTCTGGTCAGAGCAGGGAACTTCAGAATCAGAAATATCGACATTCTTTTTTTCTTCTATATTTTAGAGCAAATTATGCAGACAAATTACCAAGGTTGGTCAAGAGATCTTGAACATTCTTCCAATTGTTTGTCCTATGTTACAATCTTATGGTTATTTTAATATTATGTGTTTTATCTTGTTTTCTTGCTGATTATTGGCAGACTCAGTCTTTCTGTTTTCACAAAGAACTCATGAAGAGGACAATAGGCAAACCCACGTATGCCTTTGAGGCTAGGGACTATGTTGTAAGTTTACCTGTGTCAGCCAGGTCATACAGTCACGGCACAGCCACTAACCCCATTGACCACCAAGACTGGGGACCCAGATGCACCCTGCTATGCTTCCACCCGTGAAATTAAATTTGTAATTGAGAGGAGAAAAAGTCTAATGTGTGAGTTCCACATTACTCCTGAGACTACATCTGTAAAGGGGAACCAGACCCCCTGATAAAACGCCAGTGAACTGAGATTGAGTTTGGTGTGCCTTGGTTTTCCCGCCTTTTCATTCTGGGTCTGGGAAAAATCTGACGAGGGCTGATGAGTGCCATCTGGAAGATCTCTCTGGGCCCGGGTCTGACTCAGTGGCAGAAATTCCCCCATATAACCCAACTGCAGAGTGTGGACACAGGAGATTGAGGCTCCTGCCAACTGCAGTTGTCTAGCTCAATTACGCACATCCACCTTGGAACCAACGGGCCCAGATGGGACGTATGTGCCTAAAGCTTGGAGAGCAACAAGAAAGAAACAAAACAAAACAACCCGCGAAGCATGAGCACATTCGTAGAGCATAAACACAACTTTTCCCTGGACCATAAATCGATATGCTTATGTGTTTATTTTTACTGGCCCCTTTCTTTGAACTTGAGGTTAGTGCCTGTGACTGTCCAATAACACATGGACTTGCTGGCTCTGTGTTCCCTCATGTGTTATTGACGCTTGTGGCTCCCAAGGCTCTTTAATTGTCGCCTGACACTGACAGTTTCTTGGTCCTTCAGGTGTCTAGCAATGCATTCAGTGAAGCTGTGCAATTATTCTTGTAGCGGATGATCAGGTGTCTAATTTGAAGCGGTCTCGTTGGCTGGCTTACTTAACACCTGAAAACAGCTCCGCAATTGTTATGAAGAACATACTGTATGTGCCATGATGGTGCATCTGTCGCCGGTTAGCACTGTCCCCCGCTGCAGCAGCAAGTTGTATTCAGCTTAAAATTCTCAGAACTTCCCCATTCTCAGTGGCATTTTTATTTTCAGTCTTAATGGCTTGCCTTCATCATGAAGTAGGAATATACCTGTGCTCTAGTTTTGATGTTAGAGTATCTTGAGAATGTCTAAGAAAAAAAACAAAGATCTCTCTATATATATCACCTCAAGTAACGGTAGTAGCTGGAGATAGAGCTAACAGTTTACCTAATTCAGATGTTGATTTTTCAAATCAGCCATGTTTTGACGATAATGTGGGAGAAAGTGTGTAGGAAGTGAGCTTGGCGGGGACATCCTCAGACAGTTTTCTGCTACGCACCATAAGTGTTGTCTGTATGTACAAAGACCTCACACCGGGGTGAGCAGATCTCTGGGAAAGTTCACAGGGAGGCTCCCGGACCCAGTGAAGGCTGCCGGATCAGAACAGTCACGAGCATGGCTGTGTGCGCCCCTTCATCCAAAAGTCTATCTTGTTATTTCTCTCCTTAAAGGGCTCTTCTTCACCCACGAGGACGAGTTCTGGGAAAGCCTAATGCCTGTTTACAAAGAAATGCCAACTGTGATTTAATCTGAAACTCAGAATTTGCTTTTTTTATTAAGCCTAGTTAGAGTTTTAAAGTTTCTGCTTCCAATTTAAAGCCCAAGAGTACTTTCTTTAGTGCTATTTTTAATGGCTTCTAGGATTGGTAACAACTGAGGAAGTATCTTGCACTCGTGCTCTTAAAATACTGTTTCAGAGCAAGAGAGGGAGACATGGTGGTGCAGGGGTTAAACATGTTTGGCTGCTAACCCCAAAGTCAGTCTCTCTAACCCCCCAGAGGCCCTGCTGGAGAAAGATAAGGCTTTCTGCTCAAAGCCCAGGACACCCCGTCCTATGGAGTTGTTAGGAGCCGGAATCCACTCAGATTCCCTTGTTAGTGAAGAACTGAATATTTCCTTGGCAATCACTATCAGAAAATCCGTAGTAAAGAGAGCCCCAGGGTAATTGAAAGATCTTGTTGGCTTCCACTTTTTTAAACGTAACTTTTAAGGGCAGCACCGTTGCTCCCGTCGGTTTTCATGAAAGATCTTAACCCGGTGGGTAAGGTCTCTGAAGGCCACTCTCATCCCCCTCTCCCCCCAGCAGGAGGTGGTCATGGTGCTGTGAACCTGCAGGTGCATCAGAGCCTTTACCACCACCACCCCCTCAGGCTGAGAGGCTTTCTGAGCTGTAGGGCATCTTCTGACACTTGATTACCGATCCACCAATCTGAGGGATTTGTCCTAATGCCTTTAAGAACCGCAATGTGCGTATTTATTAAATTTCCTTATGATAAAAACATTACCTCTGTGCCACGGTAGAAGTGGATGCTCAGACTCTTGCAGCCTGCGTAAATTGGGAAATGTTGGTGAGTAAAAAGAGTCCTGGCTTTTTCGTTTTTTAACCAGTGCTCTGGCAGTGTGGCAGCCAACAACAGGTTTCCTCAGGGTCAGCCTCTCGTGTGAACTTTTGCACAGATTTGCTCCTAGCCGTCTCCACAGAGTGACAGGTGAACTCCTGTGTCATGTGCATAATGCAGAACTGATGAAGTCCCTTTTCTTCTCATGCACTGTTGTTTTCTCTCTTTCTCTCTTTTTATCTCCCATTACCCCTCCCATTTTCACGTGAAGCTTTCTCTCAAGCTGGTAAGCACAATTCCTCCCTGCATGTCCAGAGTCAGATCGGGTTTTGCGCTGTGTGTTCTGTGGGTGCTGTGCTAGTGGCCATCCCTCCAGAACGAACTGTTGCTTTGTGTTTCTCAAGTGTGCTTCCGCTAGACCTTTTGAATACAAAGGTCCGGCATCAACTAGAGGGGACTCTTAATCTTTTAAAGCTGCTAAGGAAATTAACACTGAACTCATAATTTGGCTCTCCTTTGCTATTGGGGCTTTAAGAGGCTGACAGATGTTGCTCAATTGTTTCCATAAGTATTCCACGTTGTAGGGTTTTACCTACCACATTCATTCTAAATAAAAATAAATTCAGTCATTGAAGGCTGCTTCCCTCGGAGCCACAGGGATGGATGGAAGCAGCTGGGATCCCGAGGGAGCGCTGCAGGCATGATGCCACCCTGTGGGGCCACTCTCGTGTAAGGCAGCCTTTGAGAACGGAAACACATGCAGCAAAGTTCTCAGGTGCCCTGTAAATGTATTGGGTGCCTTGTGTACGCATCGCTGAAGAGCTCCACAGTGATTTTATGAACACTGAAAAGCACCTCCTCAGCCTTCCTAGAATGATGTACTGTTGTTATTGTGCTGTTTTTATTTAACTTTGCCACTCTGGGGAGTAATCAGACTAATAACGAAATTCATTAAAAGAGACGCTTAACCAGTATAACTCATAACTACACTCCAGATATGCATCCATGACATAATGTTTTCAAATTCCTCAGCGGTGCCCTGAAAGAATGGACAATGATAAACGGTGGCAATTTCGAAATCAGATCCTCACTGTTGATAACTAAGGATAGTATTTGACGGGTCTCCTCCTATGTACATGTATATATGCATATGTCATTCCATACATGTACATGGATATGGATATATATTCTTTTCCAACCTAATGCAGTGTTTGGCAACTGGTTTAACCCTAAACAAAATGCCCCATAGATGGAAATAAACTCTCGAGAGCAGTTTTCCTAGATGCCAAGGTGGCCTTCTTGCCCTTTGACCTTTTGCTGGTGTGCCAGTAGCAGTATCTTTCTACTTGAAATATGTTTTGCCAACTTGGGGTTGAATTGGTGCTTTAAGCCATTACTTGGAAGCAAATAACCATTACCTTTGTGCGCTGTTGCGTGCACACACACAAAGTGGCTTGGGCGTTAAAATTAATAATGTCAAAAAAGGCGCTCATGCCAATTTGTTGGAGTTGAACACCTGTTTGACTTCATTCACATGTAAAGACCTTCTTCCAGTAGCACAGCCCCTTGGTATGTGTGTGTGTGTGTGTGTGTGTGTGTGTCTTCAACAGCATTGTCACCTGGCATGCTGCTCTCTGTAAATAAGGCAGCTCCCGAGATTTCAGAAAATACATTCTGACTCCACACGAGGAATTAACACTCCTTCAGAGTGTTATTTAAAAGCAATCAAGCTTCAAAAGGCAAATTCAGTGGAATAACCTTTTAAGGGCCCCGTGGAAACCTTAAGTTTCTTTGGTGTTAGAAAAAGCTGGCAGCCTGAGTGTCCAAAGAGGAAGTGAAGCTTGTTTGAGGTAGTGACTGGGATTCGTTTTTAGGCAACAGCACAGAAGCAGGGCCCGCGTTGTTTCAGTTTTTGTAAATCAGTAGGAGGGGTGCCTGCTCGTGTAGGGTGTCTGAAAGCCACAAGCATGATGTGTTTTCCGTGCACCGCTCCTTGCGGCTATGTGTGTGCCCGGCTAGTTTTACACCCGTTCACAGTCCTAACTGGTACTGTCCCACATGGTAGCCACTGGTCACATGTGGCTATGTACATTTAATTAACTAAAACTGAAACTCCAGTGCCCTAGATACACTAGCCACGTGTGCAAGTGCTCTGTGGTCACTTGTGGCTAATGTCTTGGACACAGCCCTGTCATGGCAGAATGTTCTGCTGAACACAAAGCCAATTAGAATGAGATGAAACTCCAGGGAGCTCCTGCTCCAGCCCCACCCTTCAGAAGTAAAGCATGGCGAGGGGAGGAGCTGTTAGTAGCAGAGTTTCCACAGCCTCTTCAAGGGCCCTCCACTCAGTTAACAGATGTGGCCTTAAGACGCACCACTCACTGGGTTGCCTGACTTCAAAAGCAGCATATTTCTGGTTTTCATTCCGGTTAGTGGAATAATAAGAAATATAATTCTAGAAGATATGCTGGAGGTGCGAGAAGTGAATTCAACATAAGAGTACCCCCCACCCTCCAGGCTCAGTGGTGGATTGAGGACAAGCAAGGGATATTTGTAATACTCTAGACTGGGGGTTGGCAAACTTTTGAGACCGAAGAGCCAATCCTGCCCCTCACAACAATTTAGAAATTATTCGAGAGCCGTAAATATTTACAAATGAAATCATCATTTTCGAAATACCTTTTTACTTTTTTTCAATTTTACTTCAGAGCCACATGTATGTAGTGAATGAGCTGCATACGGCTCTGGAGCCGCAGTTTGCAGACCCCAGCTCTAGGCTGTGGGGAAAAGGGTCTTGTTTTTATACTAATGATGAGTTTTGCCTCAGTTTCAGAGTCTAATGAAACATCCTTGGTTTAGTGGTAGGGAAAAGTCACTTCCATTCTGGACCACCCGAATCTCTCTTCCCACTCCACACCCCCACACACCCCAGGGAGGATTGCTCAGTCCATGCATCTTATGGGAGAGTCTTGGAGAACATTGGCCAAAAGGTCTTTGTGTGGCCTTTGTGGTAAGTTATTTGCTGAATCACGCACTTCCCACCGCAGCGGCCTGGCATTCAGCATAATTAGCCTAGGCACTTCAGTCACAAGCCCACATGTAAGCTCTTTGGCAGACTCGACTTGATTTTGGAATTATATTATCCAAGCCCCTTCTTCTCCACCCACTGGCCAAGCCGGTCTTGCCCTTGTTTTATTAGAATTGAGGTTATAAAATAAAATCTCTTTTGTAAATTCCCTGGCTTCTCCTTGGTTATTGAGTAGAGTTCTCTTTCTCTAAGAACATTGCCCTTTAAGTGAAAACCACAGCAACAGCACTTTGTACCACACCTTTCCCCAGCTCTCTGACAAGCACGCAGAGGAGGATGGGTGGGGAAGACGATTGAACTTTTCCACTGCCACCACACTGTAAATCACAGAGAAGAGGTGGCCATTGTGTTTGAAAGGGAATCAAACTATCTATGTGCTTCTACAGGTAGATTTTGAACATCTGAGATGATTCCATGTGCTGTGGGAAGTTGAATTTTGAAGTCCAGGAGAACATTCAATATGAATTCATTCAGGCTACCAGAAAGCTAACAAGCTAGCCAAATGTCCTAAAAGGAACAGATTAGCCCCTTAGAGGCAGCAGAGGGAAGAGTGCATTGGGTGGGGAAGGGGGTGTCATATTTAATATCCTTGTCACCCACACTGAGGAATATGATGCCCCATCTGTCAATTCATGAGTAGAGAAACTTTTGGTCTCAGCCTTGTGTGCAGAGATGGGAAGGAATACTCAGATCCAAGAATAAAGCCATGCTTGAGACATGAAACAGTTGATGGGACGTTGCTATGAATGAAACATACGCTTCCTTTATATTAAGGAGGCCGAAACTTCAGCTGCGTGACCACATGCACTGATGGTAATGGTTTGGGACATGAAGACTGTCTTGGAATACACTCTCAATGGCGTCTAAGTATTTCTTCCTCGCTCTTACCCCTATGACATTGCTCCTTGTCCTTCCAGAGGCATGGTTGGCTAGCAGCAGTGAGCTGCAAAATGGTGTGTGGGCCTTGTGCAGTCTGCATGCGTAGGTCTTGCATTTCATCTGGGTGTCTTGGGAAAGAGCTGCTTTATTTCAAAAAGCCCATGCAGATTTCTGCACCCACCTTGTGTCAGCAGGATCTTTCCTGCCGGCTCTCCTCATTGTTCCCTCTCCTTTTGTAGGAGGACCTTAGGGCTTCCTAGCTTCTCGTTTACATTTGTATCTGCAGGGCTCAACACCAGAGGACTTCAGCAACCTGCCACCTGAACAGAGGAGGAAAAAGCTGCAACAGAAAGTCGATGAATTAAATAAAGAAATCCAGAAGGAGATGGATCAAAGGTAGAGTGGATCAATAGCACTTGTTAAGAAATCTAATGCTGTTTGGAAATAGGCGAATTCAGACAGCACATTTAAAAGTGGCTATATGAGCAATGTGATTGGCCACAGATAATCTGTTACACTTCTGTCTTATAGATTGGGAGGCTGGCTCCCTTTTACAGATTGACTTTATTCAGAGTTTGGGGAGCGAAATACACATGGTGCTCTCTTTTATCACTAGTATACAGGTGAGTGTTTTTGTACACAAGAGGCAGAAAAGAGGGCCATGACCTCCCCGTGCTGCTGCCCCAGAACCTAGCTTTGGGTTCAGAATCTGCTCATCTTCTATTTGAGTATGAATAAAAATGAGCTTTCATACAGATTTTTAATGTAGGGGCTTGTTTTAGTCTGGGTACTTTAGAGAAACAAATCCACAGAAACTCATGTATAAGAGAGAGTTTTATATAAAGGTTAAGTGCGCATCAAGAAAACATCCCAACCCAGTGCAGCCCAAGCCCACAAGTCCAACATTAACCCATTAACCCATATGTCCAACACCAATCCACAAAGTCCTCCTCCATCTCACAAAACTCACAGGAGGAAAGCCGAGTCAGTGAGCGTGTAAGCATCTCAGCGCTGGCAGGGGTCTCCACACGGCTGCTCCAGCACCCAGGACTGCATCGGGGTAGGTCTATGCTGCTTCTCCTTGGAGATGTCTTGCAGGAAGTGAGCCTTGCCAGCTGAAGCAGGGAACTGGCTAAGGCAGCTGCACCCTGGTCCAACCATCAGAAAGCAAGAGACCCGAGAACTCGAAAAGAGAGGCTCACCTAGCCATTTATCCCTCTGCCCTTCAATTAACCCCACATGTGTTTATCGGCCAGGTTGGCACAATAAACTAACTACCTCAGGGTTGGATGGAGTCTAGAAAATATGCCACAACTTGTATTTTTTTTTTAATTATTTTATTGGGGACTCTTACATCTCTTGTTACAATCCATACATTGTTTGCATCAGGCATGTTTGTACATATGTTGCCTTCATTCATTGGTGGACATTTTTTTTCTATTGAGCCCTTGGTATCAGCTCCTCATTTTCCTCTTTTCCTCCCCCCGCCCCCCAAACTCCGTTGGTAGATTATAAATTATTATTATTTTCATATCGTACACTGACCGCTGTCTCCCTTCCCCTGTGTTTTCTGTTGTTCTTTCCCTCTGAAGATGGGTATATGATTGTGTGTCGATCATTGTGATCGATTCCCCCTTTCTCCCTTTCCCTTCCCCCCTTTATCCCTACCCTTATGGTATTGCTATTCCCACTCCTGTTCCTGGAGTCTTTTCTATACCTGTGTACATGTTCCAGGTTAGTCTGCATTGAGAAGCAGTTGTAGGGTCCTGATAGTGGGGGTTGAGGAACCAGAGGAATATAGTGTGTTTCATCAATGCTTTACTGTACCCTGGTTGACTCATCCCTTCCCTGTGGCCCCTCTGTAGGGGGATTTTTCCATTGTCTACAGATGGCATTTGGGTCTCTGCTCTGCCTCCCTTTGTTCTCCACAATATGCTTTGGTTTGTTGGTTTGTTATGTGTCCTCTGATGCCTATTACCCAGTCCCGATGACGCCTCGTGATCGCATTGATGGTGTGCTTCTTCCATGTAGGCTTGTTACTTCTCTGCTAAATGGCCACTTGTTTAACTTCAAGCATTTAAGACCCCAGACGCTATATCCTTTAATAGTTGGGCACTATCCACATTAACCCATATGTCTAACACCAATCCACAAAGTGGATTCTTCACATTTGCTTATACACCCATTTTGTCTTCAGCGATTGTGTCGGGAGCATGTACATCTCAGGCTGCCGATTTGTTAAACAGAATGTTCTTGTATTGAGGGAGGGTGAGAGCAGAGGCCTGAAGTCCATCCACTACCACAGTGTACTGCCGAATAAGTATATGTACATAGGCCAATATCTCTATTTTTGTGGGTTAATGTATTTACATATGTACACACCTATGCTTACACCTCTATCCACTGCTTTGCTTCCTATGTCCTTCCCTGTTTCCTTTTATGCCACAAGAAGCCAGCTCCTAGCACAATCACTACGGGTTTGGTAGGTGCAATTGTACAGCGATAATAAGTAAATATTATAGTAAAGTTATAGAGAGCATGAGAGATAAAAGAGATATATAGAAATAAATGGAGTCAGACATATTATGATAGCATGCTCACCTCAGCCCCGCTTGGTGGTCCACGTGGAGGGAGTGAGAAGGGAAGGAGGGTAAGGGAACAAGGGAGAGGGGGAAGAGTCAGGGAGGTCAGAGCCCAAGAGAGAAGTCCGAGAAGTTTCCGCCTATATTGCCGACTCATGCCTATATACCTTTTGGGGGCCTGCCAGCCCACTAATTACAGGTAGAGACATACGTCACAGGGAGGGGCTAGGTTACACAGCAATGAGAGGGTGGTCTAGGGGGTGGTCTCTGGGTCTCCATAGGAACCATTATCAGTAGGGTGTAAACCCCTCCTACAGGAGCCTGCCCATTGTCCCCAGAG